CAAAATATCGCTAAAAAATATTGAGATGCATATTGTGATAATATCGTACAGAGAAATTTGGATATTGATAAGTCCCTAATATCCACAGTATGGCATTAAATAAATCTGTCTTGCATTTTTTCAACTACAAGTGTTATTTATTGTTCAAATATATCTTTAAAAAACTTTTTTTTTTACTTTGAGTGGGGTCAACTCTACACAAATTTAATCTGTAATTTGGCTTGCAAGTCCATGAAGATTCTTAAGTTTATGGCTATACTTTGGAACATTCTAGACACATCTCCATGGAGACAAGAAGATGACGGACCAGATGACGGATACAGTAGCTCACATATTACATATTATAATAACAATGAGAAAAAATATATAAATGGTAATAATAAATTGTAAATAAGTAGCAAAAATAGCAAGAGACGGATGTCAAATGAGGCACCAGTCTCAAATGCCAACTCAAATGTTGATTTTGATTCAATTGCGATATACTGTGCAACCTTACCATCTACAAACAAAACAAGTTCAAGGTATTCAGTGTGAATCGAATGTCAAATTGCCTCCCAGGACCAAGCAACATGTCAGAGCATTCATAAATAAACCATAGAAAATGTCAATAGACCCCTAACAGACAGGGTAATGACCTAGTTCAATAGCTGGCATTCGGGCAGCCATGTTGTCTTCCCTGATGTGCAGCGCGCGCCTTGGCACTGCTGGAAGAAAACAGGAGACTTTGGCAAGCGTCATGTGGTATTTAGCTGTCACTGCTAATTTTCGAGGCCTTGATGATGATGAGCATGGCTTTCCAATGTGCTTTAATTCCTGTCACCGGTATGCGCTATCGTTTTACATTCGGTGTTTTCTTTTGCTTTGGCGTCTCATTAAATAAGGATTGGTGGTGTTTCTCTAAAAACACAGCCAACCTGGAGTCAATTATCCAGCTGACAGTCACACACCGTTATCAAGGGCGACCTTTGTTTGTGTTTCATCTTTTTTTTCTGAGGATTAATGGAAGTATAAGAGAAATGGGCTTCAGACACCATCTAAATATGGACATAGTGTTTGAGAATGACCAAAGCTCTCAAGCACAGACTGACATCCTTATCACTTCTATAAAAAGAGATGAAAGCACTTGGAAGAGGCATTGACCCCACTGCTTTATGTCAAACTCATCACACACAGATTAGAGCTAAAAACAATCTTGCAGTGATACAAAAACAGTAGCTATCTAGAGTAACCTGCCCCAATATATATGTCCCGTTATGACAAGTGTTAAAGATGCACTGTGTACCGTAACTCATCTCCATGTTCCATGATATGGCATTAAACACATTTCATAGTTCAGTTGTGGAACAGGTTTTTTCTACAATTTTCCAATTTAAAGATAGATACAAAGAAACTGTTTTATTATCAGTATTTATACAAACACTAAGTACAAAACTGTAATTATGTGAAAGCAACCACCTCACAAACTGTGCACTGGGGGTGGAAGTAAAATTTAGACAGTATTGTAGGTGTACAAATGGTACAGAAAAATGTTTTGTAAGTATTCACTGCCATGTCAGTAAAGTGTGAAAAATGCATTGAACAACCAAGCACGAAAAAAAAAAATAGACTAATTGATACTTGAGCTGGTGACATCACCTCCTTGTTTCTGCGGAGATGATGAAAGTTTAATGCCATATAGTGGAACATTCCAGGCAAAGCAATAACAGTGTATGGAGACAAGCAGTAAGCAGACCTTCCACTGGAAAATTCTGTGTACCTTTAAGAAGAATTGTAGAATATGGAGGGATTGTCAAGCCACATATTCTGCAAGTCAAATTGATGTTAATCGCCGACTTCATTATTCTTGTATAACAAAAGATAAATAAAATATTTCTGCTGTTAAAACATTTACATTAACAAAATGCGATCCACAACCGCTTCTACTTTCAGAACTGTATGCATAATTCCTATTTTATTATTCAAAACAAAATCACAACCAGATGACCTGTTTTAGGGAAGTACAGTGCAGCTTGTTATGTACACAGACTTAATGAACTTGGACCAAATAAGTTTATTACCCAAGATGGAAGTTGACAGTATACAGTAAAAACTCCAAGCGAATATATATTGAGTGCTATACGGAACAGTGGGCCAACAGTAATCTTTATTCTCAAATGTTACCTGAGGGGCTGCATAAATAACAGCAGAATATGTTATTATGTAAAATATGTATTATGCATTAGCCGTGAGCACATATAGGGGTTGTTTGGCAGTTGTATTGTCTTTGAACGCTTCACTGAACATACTTATAAATGTGACTGTGCTGTATTTTTGTGTAAAATTGCCATTTTAAAGTGGTAAAGTATAGATTTAGTCTCAGAGCTCCTCCTGGTATTTCCACCACAAAACTTCAAAATGAGACATTCTGCTGCTCCTGTGGATTTTCTAATGGCGTTTCAAATACATAAAGAAAGAGACACGGCGAAATGTTGCATGTAAAGTGTTTTAGATACCTTTATTCTCCCTTTTCCCAATAGACTCATTTTGGCATGTGAAAGCTATGCAGAATTTTATACTAGGCTACTTTGGTGTGGCATAAACCTCCTAGAAGCTGTGGAGAGGTTTTAATCAAGTGTGAAATCCTTTTGGAGGAGATGCCTGCTCTCCCCAAGCTGCTCCCCCAACTCTTCCCTTCAAGTTCTTTTGTAGCTATTGCACTGCACTGATGCATACATGCCGAGTTGTTAGTCTGCTAGCAGAGAAGAGAAGTCCCCCATCAGAATGCATGAGATGGGGTGAAGGCAGTCTTGGTTTGCTTCCAGTTAGGCAAAGCACAACCCAAGTCCTGATGAAGCTGGAGCACTGGAAAAATTGAATACAACCGTAAAGTTATAATCAAATTCTGATTAAAGGGCCCAGATTACGCTATTTCTGATCTATGTTATAATGTTGTTTCTCCGTCAAAAACATACCTTAGTTTTACACACAAATCCGCAAAAGAGTTCTTCTCTCAAACAGAAAACACTCTGTTACACCTTGTAATGTCCTGAAGTAATACAGGATGTGCTACACTGTGTTTTTAAACTCCATACACCTTCACTACAATCATTTGGATAATTTCAGCCCTGAAATTGCCAAGCTCTACTAAATTAAAAGGTGCTGCTAACTTGAAAACTACTGCTTCATGACATCACAAGGTGGTACAGAGCATTTTGAGCTTTGGAGATGTAGACAGACTAATAATAAAACAAACTCAAACATGTGTGAATGAAACAAAACAATTTAGTGTAATATAGGACCTTTAACTTGCTTAGTAGTATGCTTAGTACTATTCCTCACCCATTTATAAGGTAACTCAACACTCAGTTTGAGATATGTTGCTGCTTTCAACTTACTTAAAAGGAAAAAATATACATATACATATATACATATATATATATATATATATATATATATATATATATATAACATTAAAAAGCAATATGAAGAAATTTTTAGTTATTCATTTATTATTTTTTTACTTTTTTTTTTTTTCAGAAAGGAAACCTTTACTGAATTGGGATTATAATTCATTCATTTCAAACAATGACACTGGCCTGGTCAACACAAAATGGATTTTGCCCTCTCAGCATAATGGTATAATGAAGCTTGAAAACAGCAAAGCAGGGCTCAATTGTTAATGCATGTAATAGCCATAAACATCTACCAATTTGGCATTACAGGAAAAGCGAGATTATCACTGACAATAGACTGGCGATGCATTGTGTGGTAATTATTATGTAATGAACAATAGGGTCCATTGTCCAGGGATTCGCCATTAGAAATAGATACTGTACACACTTGGGGCACGTGTTAAGCAGTTTAGGGTCTGTAGCCCAGTGAGCAGAGTCTGTGCTGGGACTGATTGAAGATTCTGTGGGTCGAATGTGTTTTTTTGAGCTCTGACATTTTGTGGGATAATTATCTCTCCTCTGGTCACTGAGTACAATACTGATGGTACGTCTCATAGGCTTACTGTCAAGCTGGCATTTTCTCCATTAGTGCTGAACTTGCCTCTTGCTGCCCATTACATACGTCATCCCCAACAGTTGCATCAGTCTCTTCTTACTGAGCTCTTGTGTGAAAACATTTCTCCCCCATCCATGGTGTCTTTTATACACCAAACTTGACTGATGTACTCTTTCATGCCGTGGACTGGGCTGTGCTAATGCATTTATCGCAGCTACCACGTCTTTTCAAAGCTCAGATACTCATTGTCTGCTGTTCTTTTAACTTGTCTAGCCTCTTTGACTGCAGTTGCATGGCTGAAAGATAAACTCAAGTGTGGATCCCATTCACTGAGATGTAGTATCTCAACTTTGTCAACAGGTGGTGGTTTGTGAGGTGCCAAAGATCTCTCTCTGCTAAATAAACACCAGAAAGTTTTTTGGAAAGTAATATTGAGAGACAAACCTAATTTGGAGCTCATGCAGTAAAATGAGGTCACTATGTCATGGGCCCATTTATTTAATTAGGCGCAGTTGAATAAAAAAGTGGATACAAATCAAGGGCAGGGAACTCATTTCAGTACTGTCAATCAATAACTCATTCAACAGTGCTTTTGCCCAAAGGGATACATGGTTCACTTTGTGCGCAGTCTCTTCATTTGGGATGTGTTTGCTTTATCTAATTCTCTGTGCTGTCACATATTTGAGGCATAGGATTGATATGAAATTGGAAATAGCACTTTACCAAACGCTGTGACATATTTGAAATGTGCAGACAAACTGCTGTTGGATACTACTCAATCACACGCGGGATGCATCACATCAGCGAGTGGACAACTACACACAGAGTCGCTCATTACACAGTGCATAGCAACTGCTACATAGCAACTGCTGCCGACTGCTTAGCAACAGCTGCAAAGACCTCCAGGAGGGGGGTGGGATTCATGGGGTGTTTCAGATAACACCATTTCAGTTCACAAATGCCTCTTAAAAGATGTTGCTTCCTTTCTAATAGTTGTCTCTTGTCACCCGCAGATATCCGCTCCATCCCAGACGTGGCGATGACCGGAAACTGTACGACGGAGTGTAGCGAGCTGGGTCACTCAGACGCCTGCTGGATGCCTGGTCACCCCTCCCCCATGCGCAAGACCAGGAACCCTCCCAAACTCTCCACCTTCGTGCCTTACCAGGAGAGAGGGAGCCTAGGTCGCCTGGCCAACGGCAGCGCCAGGCAGGGCTGCGAAGAGCCGCGGGCTCGCCTGCCCCCGTCCCGTAGTGCCTATTCCAGCAGCAGCAGCGGTGTCCCGGAGCCCGGCTCTGACTGCCCGCTGGAGGAGATGCCCCTCAGTGTCGCCACAGAGTACCCGCCCACTTCTCCTACCACTCACACGCCCAAACGAGAAATCTACCTGTAGATCTGCACAAGTCAACAAGTACACCTATCCACACGCAAAAGCCAATGCCCCTTTTGTCATGACAACAGGCTGTGACTCATCCCATCACTGGCATGAACACTTGTTTTTGTCATTCTTCTCCTTTCTAAATTATTAATTTATTAGAATATTTATTCATCACATGCAGTTGACCATTTATTTATACAACTCTTCAAACAGATGTAATTCCAAATGGAAAAAGTGCAGAGTGGTAATAATTGCAACTTTAGCGGTAACTAATTAATGTTGTAGTTAGCCGAGTCCCATTATGTGAAGTGATCTCTCGAATATGGAAGTTGTGATCAGTGCTCTTGTGCCATTATTAGATAGACAGCCACAAACACCCGAAGGCGTAACGTAACTAAACAATCAAACAGAATGGTCTTATCTTAATGTACAGTGCTGTAAATACATTTGAATGGTGTGTTCTACATATATTTTGTCTGGCATAAGCTGAAAAAGATTGCCTCAGACTTAGCATATTTAAGCTTTTCTTTGCTGCTGCTGTTTGAATCTTGACTGAAAGCGTCTCCGCCGGTGGAGTTCAATCCCGTGGGAAGGCATTTATGTGGTCCTCGCAATCACACACACACACAAATACAAACCTGTGACCCCCCCCACAATCACAGTCGAATGGCCTTTACCTGTGCCCCCCGTAGTGCCCCCGCTGCTGCTGCTGCCGGGGAACTGCATTAGAAGTGACAGAGCGCTCCCCGGCTCTGTGCAGCACTGTGACCTAAAGCCTTCATCATTTGAAACGGCTGATTCGGCCACGCTACTACCCCGGGAGTCACAACAGAACAAACACACAGTACTTTACAAGATGGTTTCTAGATTAGCTTTTCAGTTCAAATATCCTCCCGCTAATGGACTCATAACAGTGCAAAAGCTCTCCTCAGTGGCGACAATCAGACATAGTGAAACTCGCAATCCTCTCGCAATCCAATTCTCCACGCCTCAAATTCCTTTTCGCTTTCAACAACAAGACCTTGTCAAGGGGGAATAAATATTTGATGAGATATTTAGATGAGATGTGAAAGAGCACTTGATTACTGAAAGTCTCTGCTAAAAATAATTTGAAATATTATCATGTTGTTATCCGCACAGAATTCCTTTCTTACCTGGTAATTTATTAATTGCCTCATATGGAATTCACTGCACATTAGCACAAAGAACAAGGCAGACTAGACATAAACAAATTGATTTCAAACCTAAAGGTCAATCAACAAATCCAATTTGGAAAATAAATATCTTCACTGATATCAATAATTAAAGAGCAACTTGTAAATTTAACAGCCACTTTACATTTTAAACAGAAAATCTCCACATTTGTATGACTGTGAAACTGGAGTAAAAAGCACTTAGAGAGGTGATTGGGACATGGAGAGAAAACACCCGTCATTTATTCGGACCATGTATGCTAATAAGAATGCAAAACAGTTAGTAGGTCAATGCCAGGTTAAAAACAATGGTGTTTTCTAAATAACAAACAAACAAAAAAAATGTTGTGCTGAATGTTCCTACTGCTATAATCTGTAACTATTATCCTCAGTCCATTCTGATTTTACTGCACACAGACAATAAAATTAAACGACAAAAAGAGCCGGTGAGGATAACAAGTGGAGCAGCAGGTGTCCTGGTGAGCTAGCAGTTTAGCTAACACTACATGCACTCTTTTCACACTGTTTTTCTCACATCGCACTAGCCGCAAAAAGCGGGCCGTCTATTAATGGAAGAAAATAAGTTTTGTACTTGCCAAAACTTTGAGTTTTATAATGCTTACCCTGCTTTGTGGTACTTACAAGTTGCCCTTTATTTTTTATTTTTTTCTAAAGAAAACAGCCTTCTGCCAGTAATGGTTTCAGTTGTACTAAGGACAACATGTTTAATAAGGCGAAAGGCATTTTTGCTCCAGTGAAACAGTGAAAAATAGGCCATGCCCGTGGGCTTCATTTATCTTTGAAAAGATTTTCCTGGTGAATCTGAAGGATATGTGTGAAGGACACGATGTATTAGTCACTAATTGGATGTTAATGGTGACTACACTAGGCTTCTCTATACAACATGGTTGAGCTAGCCACAATCTTTGATTTGAACATTGATTTGATTAGATTGGTAGATACCTTTCACCTTCGCAGAGTATTTCCATAGTGAGATTGTGTCTGAGTGAGGGTGGAGGAGCCAAGAATGGACATTTCCTAATTAGGGTGAGTAATGAGTCCTGAGCTAGGCCATGTGTGAGCACACCCCCAGGACAAGGCACCCACTGGATAATGCAAATCCACCCACAGAGCCACAATCAGTTAAAGGGGGTATTTTTATCTGCACTTACCTCATCACGCCACCATTGAGAAGCGCATTTAGAATAATTAAAGTGCAAACATATGGAAATGACTGGACATGGCCGTGATTAAATAAGGTGGGCGATTATCCAGCCTTGAGGGGGAGCAAGCACATTATGCCGTTTTCAAAGCCATTTAGCGACTGAAATCAAATTCAAACAACAGCCATGATACACTGTGATTAAGCCCCCACGGCTCCCCCTGAGCGACCCCAGTGAAAGGCGCCGCAGACGGGCCTTGAGCAGCGGGTGGGACCACTGACCTGGAAGTAACCACAAGTGAGAACCACGAGTGATAAGCCAGCTTCACATAGCCTCAACTTCCATCTCTTAACACCCCATTCAGATCCTCTTACTCCTGCTGTTCTGGGGGTGAAATCTCAGCCCTGACGCCAGCCTAAGTATACTGCTTCAGTCAATCTGGAATGTATCGTCATTTTTTTTCTGTCAATTATTTGTGCAATTAAACAAAGGCTTCGGACAAAATCATTTTAAACAAGATGGGCCTTTACTCCTGTTTTACTTTTTTGTCTCAAGAGTTGGACTATTCACATTTCCAGCCGATAACAACCTCCTAATTCTCCCTTGGAACAATATTTCACAAATTGACCTTCTTTTGAACTCATGCTGAATGGACTCTACAAACACAAAAACACTTCTTTGGTCTAAGTACGAGGACTCATGAAGCACCGAAACTCACTCAAAATTACCTTGAGTAATGTTTAATTTGTACTTAACATTGATTTAATGTTGGATTCACTTGAGTATCTTTTGCCTCTGTGGTGCGTATTGTATGGTGATCATTTCTGTGGACAGATGGACAAAACTAGAGAAATTGGCGAAAGAGGGGGTTTTGGTACCGATCTTAGCTAAAGTGGTTGTGTGAAAATACAAATCTCTTACTGGTGTTGTGTACATAGATATCCACACAGCCCTAAAGTCTGCTGTCACAGGCAGGCAGCGATTTTAGCATGAATTCCAAAGATAATTGGTAGAAGCTGTTTACGCCTTTTTCGTTTCACTCTCTGTTTGGGAAAATGTTGGTTCATTTTCAAAAAGGCCCTAAAAACGGACTGAAATTAACTACGACATTTCACCCTTTTTCACAGTTCATCTAGAACAAAGACAATTGCCTTGAAAATACATCTTTGCAAGAGAGAATCTAGTTGTTATCCTAACTGTTGGTATATTTATATAGGATAAAAATGCTTGTGATGCCATGTTTTTGTACAGTTTTATGTACATACAAGTGACGCTTTCTAAAAGTTCTGAGAAAAGCCGATGGCATATAAAAATTGTAACATGTTTTTTTTCTTGAGCTGTGCACATCTTGCCTTGGTTTGGATTGACCTTTGCTGAGTCAGTGTGAATGTGGCCGTTTTATGCCTGCACTGTAGTCATTCACGGGCCCCACCTCCTGAGGACTTCTTCAGTTTTTATGTTGATCGTGAACAGTGGATCGTCTCTTTCTCTTTACCAGTTTGTTCCAAAACTCCTGTGTTTCGGCTTTGTTCTGTTTTTCGCATGTTGACAAAATTCTCTTGTAATACTGTAAGTCCTCATGAACTTTGTAATAAAATCACTTCAGGGAAAAAAACACTGTCTTTTTTATTCTTCTTCTTGAAAGTTAAACAAGGACTGGATTGTTACATTTTCATAATATGGGTTTGCAGCCTTCCAGCTACATTGTGTCTAACTCGGGCTCCTCATTAAGATGTTCTGCTCTTCTTGTTATAGTGAAACTTCATTTCCAAGTCGGGATGTGAGCACATTTTTGAAAAACGAGGATGTATTTCAGCACACAAAAGAGTCCCAGGACCTTAAGTTCACCACTTCAACTAGCAAAACAACCTGCCAGAAGTGGTCTCTGCTGTGCACTTAACATATTTCCCTAAAACACGTACAGTTGCCCTGAGCTACACACTTTGTCATACACTTTACAAGCTCAAGTCTTGTAATGGTAATTTCTGTGTCTTTGTGTCTGACAGAAGCAGACTGTTTCTACTTCAGCCGGACAATGAGCCACGGTTGAGAGCGTCCAATGAAAGAATAACACAACCCATGTCTGGATGTTCACGCTCTGTTACTTCTACCATGTTTGATTATTAGAACATTAGCACAAAAGTTAATTGAGTTAATCATTTTAGCAAAGATACTGTATTATTTAATCAAGTGTGAACCACTGGAATGTAACGTGTGTGATTAAGAAGTTTTCAGCCCGTTTCACAAACAATCTCTTTAATCAAGACTGTGAGGCATTTACTGCAGGGCACTGTCTCGAGGTTACTATGACTTTAATGCGTACATGCCTAATGTATTCTCAGGAACCACAGACTTTAAAAGATGAGATGGAAGCAGGAAGTCACTATATAAAAGCATACATTATTTGCTGAAATGAGCAGTTTTGTGCTTGAGTGGTTAGCGCTGTCACCACACAGTAAGGTTTCATTTTGAACCCTCAGGCGATCCATGGCCCTGCACATGTGGGTATTTTGAATTTACTCCATATTTCAGATACATGCTTTGGGGCCATAGGTTAATTAGGAACTCTAAATATCCCCAAATTTAACAGAGGTCTTTGAAGCCTTCAAGTGAATTGAAATTAGAAATATCTTCTAGAAACATTTAGCCTTAGATATAG